TTAAATTAAAAATGCTGTTGAGTCTAATTGGGTTTGCATTGAACTATATATCAATTCAAAGATTGACACTGTAATGATATTGTCATCTTTTCCAAGAACCTGGTATGTCTTTTCATTCTTCAGATCTTGTTTTATGCCCTTCAATATGATTTTCTTTGTTAAAGTTATTAAGTATTACATAATTTTGAATAGGTAACACATTAATAGGATTCAAAATTTAATAGTGTAAAAATGAATTCAGTGAATTTTCCCTTCCATTGCTATCCCCTCTCTACCCAACTCTCCTCTCTTCCAGAGGCACTTTATGTATATATGAGCAAATATATATACCTATTTGTTACAATTATTATGAATGGAATACTTTCTTTTGTACTGTTTCTGGTTGATTATTGCTAGGATAGAAAAAAGCTACTGATTTTTATGTAGTTATCTTTTATTTAGATACCTACAACATTTCCTTAGTAATTCTAATAAGTTTTACTGTAGTCTTTTGGATTTCCTAAATATAATTTATTATTTTCCAATATTTATACCAATTAGATTTTTTTTTTTACCAATTAGATTTCTTAGCTAATTGCTTTTACATGCATTTTCAAAGCAATGTTGAATCTTGTCTTATTTCAGACTTTAACAGAATTAGCTTTAGTATTTATAGTTAAGGATAATGTTTGCTGTTGTTTTTAAAAAATATTTTTATTGACTTTAGAGAGGAAGAGAAAGGGGGATAGAAACATCAATGATGAGCCCTAGTTGGATTGATTCAGTGGACAGAGGGTCAGCCCAAAAACTGAAGGGTCCTGGGTTCAATTCTGGTCAAGGGCATGTACTTTAGTTTGCCTCCTGCACGTACTTCCGGTCGGGGCTCGCGCAGGAGGTAATCAATCTGATGTATCTCTCTCACATTTATGTTTCTCTCTCTCTGTCTCTCCTGATCCCTTCCACTCTCTCTAAAAATCAATGGAAAAATATCCTCAGGTGAGGATTAAAAAAAAATTAAAAAAGAAAAAATATATGGAATATTTTTTCATATTTTCCCATGGTTTGAAGCAGTTTACATATTAATTAAAAACTGCAAATTATCTATTTTTTTTGGTGTTCACTTTGTGATAATTAATTGAACTGTATACTTGTGATCTATGCACTTTTCCATATATATCAATAAAAAAGTTTAAAATAAGAAGACAAAAAGGATAAAATTTTAATCACCTTTCCAATTTCTTCTTTGGTAATTTGTCCATTCAAACAATACCTTGGGCCAGTGTTTGCTAGAAAATTATCTGTTTGCCCTGTTTTACATTTGTTGCCATAGAACACTCCTACAATTATTTAAAATTCTTCCATATATATATATGGTTATGTCTGATTTCTCATTCCTAATCCTGTTTTATTCTTTTGTTCTTTTCCCCTTTATTAGGCTAAGACAGTTTTATCTATTTTACTGGTGTTTTCAAAGAATCATTTTTCTATTTATCTTTTATTATTACTTATAGTTTCCTACTTCATTAACTTCAGGTTTTATCTTTATTACTCTATTTCCTATATTATTGTGGTTTAAATGTTTTTTTTCTAAATTTCTAAAACTATCACTACACAGCTTTGAGCTTTTCTTTTTTTTTTTTTTTTTTTTTTTTTTTTTTTTTTTTAATTAAATCTTTATTGTTCAGATTATTACATTTGTTCCTCTTTTTTTTCCCCCATAACTCCCCTCCTCCCAGTTCCCGCCCCACCCTCCGCCCTCACTCCCCACCCACTGTCCTCATCCATAGGTGCACGATTTTTGTCCGGTCTCTTCCCGCATCTCCCACACCCCTTTCCCCCCCAGGAATAGTCAGTCCATTCCCTTTCTATGTCCCTGATTCTATTATAATCAACAGTTCATTCTGTTCATCAGATTATTTATTCACTTGATTCTTAGATTCACTTGTTGATAAATGCATATTCGTTGTTCATAATTTGTATCTTTACCTTTTTCTTCCTCTTCCTCTTCTTAAAGGATACCTTTCAGCATTTCATATAATCCTGGTTTGGTGGTGATGAACTCCTTTAGCGTTTCCTTATCTGTGAAGCTCTTTATCTGACCTTCAATTCTGAATGATAGCTTTGCTGGATAAAGTAATCTTGGTTGTAGGTTCTTGGTATTCATCACTTTGAATATTTCTTGCCACTCCTTTCTGGCCTGCAAAGTTTCTGTTGAGAAATCAGCTGACAGTCGTATGGGTATTCCCTTGTAGGTAACTAAGTTTCTTTCTCTTGCTGTTTTTAAGATTCTCTCTTTATCTTTTGCTCTTGGCATTTTAATGATGATGTGTCTTGGTGTGGTCCTCTTTGGATTCCTTTTGTTTGGGGTTCTCCGCGCTTCTTGGACCTGTAAGTCCATTTCTTTCACCAGGTGGGGGAAGTTTTCTGTCATTATTTCTTCAAATAGGTTTTCAATATCTTGCTCTCTCTCATCTTCTGGCACCCCTATAATTCTGATGTTGGTACGCTTGAAGCTGTCCCAGAGGCTCCTTACACTATGCTCGCATTTTTGGATTCTTTTTTCATTTTGCTTTTCCGGTTGGGTGTTTTTTGCTTCCTCGCATTTCAAATCATTGACTTGATTCTTGCGCTCCTCTGGTCTGCTGTCTGGAGTCTGTATAATATTCGTTATTTCAGTCCGTGTATGCTTAATTTCTAGTTGGTTCCCCAATATAAGATCGAGGGTCTTATTAGTTTTCTTGTAGATCTCATTAAGTTTATCGGCAGCTTCTAAACAGTTCTTGAGAGACCTTAAAAGTGTGGTTCTGAACTCTATATCTTCCATTGACAATTTTGTCCTGTTTCTTTGTCTCCGCATTTTGTTATGCTTCCTTGGTGCACCCCCTAGTGGTCTTTGTTCGCAGTCTTATAGTTAAATCTTGATTGTTGTAGCTAATTCCAGGGAGGGTTTGACCTCCAGGCCAAGTGGCTATGAGAATCAGCTGTGTCAGCAGTGAGAGAACTTCTGTCCTCTAGGGAGGTGCTAATCTAGCCTTTGCCTGAGGCTATCCGGTCGCACAGGATCAACAGGGTGGGCCGGAGAGAGCAGTTATGGCGGCTCTCAGTCCTGTCCCCAGGGGCTCTGCCTCTCTGAGTCCCAGCACCCGCTGCAAAGCTCAGAGAGAAAGCTGCACTCGCTCTGACCGAAGTCAGACAGTCCCGCTTCTCCCGTTTGAGTCTGGGTCGCTAAAGACTCGCCCGGATCTGGAGCTCAGAGTCTGCGACTCCCTCCCGATTGAAAACGCCAACCGCGCCCTCCGCCGCCAGCCCGCTCGCGCACTCCACACCTCAGAATTTGCCTTCAGCACTGCGCCTCCTCTGAGTGTCCGTATGCGTTTCTCTTTCCTCCTAGTTGTAGGACTTCCACTCAGCCAGCGTTCCTGTGGTTCTGGGTGATGTCCCTTCCGTTTTTTGGTTTCACTTTTGAAGTAGTTGTTCAAAGCAGCAAACTCCGGCGTTAACCTATGCCGCCATCTTGGTTCCGAGCTTTTCTTTTTTGAATAAAGGTGCTGGTGTTACATTTTCATCTCCCAGTCCAGCCTTATGCATTTCAGGATAGTCAATAAGGCAGGGGTCCTCAAACTACGGCCCGCGGGCCACATGCAAATACAAATATTGTATTTGTTCCTGTTTTGTTTTTTTACTTCAAAATAAGATACGTGCAGTGTGCATAGGAATTTGTTCATAGTTTTTTTTTAAACTATAGTCCGGCCCTCCAACGGTCTGAGGGACAGTGAACTGGACCCTGTTTAAAAAGTTTGAGGACCCCTGCAAATAAGGTATCTGGGTCTTAATTTGCCCCATTTGTTCTGGGGGTCCATCCTGGCAAGTCCTACTGCCTGGCCACAAGCACATGCCAAATAATTGTGTGCTCAGTGAACAAATAACACTGTTCTGTCCTGCAACCTACTATAAGACCTGTGCCTGCCACAGGGTCCACCATTCGCCCAAATACCTGGAGCATCCATCACATGCTGACACTGTGCCAGGGGCTATGAATAGGACAGTGAGCTGAACAACTAGTGTCTGCCCTCTTGGACCTCACATTCTGGTGACAAAGAGACATAAGACAAGTAAGGGAGCTGAATACTGCATAGGATGCCAAGGAAGCATAAGATAGGGTCCAACATCACCAAGGAGGTCTAACTAAGAATCCCTAGAAGTGTTACTTAAGTTCCTCAGAAACTGAGGGTCTACTCCAGCCGTGGGCAAACTACGGCCCGCGGGCCGGATCCGGCCCGTTTGGAATGAAAAAAACTAAAAAAAAAAAAAAAGACCGTACCCTTTTATGTAATGATGTTTACTTTGAATTTATATTAGTTCACACAAACACTCCATCCATGCTTTTGTTCTGGCCCTCCGGTCCAGTTTAAGAACCCATTGTGGTCCTCGAGTCAAAAAGTTTGCCCACCCCTGGTCTACTCTGTCCCCGATCCTCTTTTCAGAAAGGTGGCCATTGGGTTTTCTTGTATAAAAGTTACCTGGTTTTGCCCTAGCCAGTTTGGCTTAGTGGATAGAGCATTGGCCTGTGGACTGAAGGGTCCCGGGTTCGATTCTGGTCAAGGGCATGTACCTCACTCGGTTGCAGGCTCTATCCCTAGTAGGGGCCATGCAGGAGGCAGTCAACTGATGATGTTCCTCTCTCATCGATGTTTCCATCTCTCTATCCTTCTCCCTTCCTCTCTCTCTAAAAATAAATAAAAACATTTTAAAAGTTACTTGATTTTGAGTTATATGCCTGCTGCTCATGGCCATAGTTCATTGAACCAAGGGACTGACAGTCAAGCAAAATAATTTTATCTAACACAAAACAGAATGAAAAGAGAAGAAACAGAGATAGCAGGAGAGGAAAAGCAGAATAAGAATAGTAAAGTCATAATAATGGCAGTCACAAACTATGTGATATTGGATTGGAACTGTAGGTATCAATATGAATTCATGTTTTTTAAATAATATACAGATACAGAGACATGGCAATAAAATCAGATGTGTGTGATGCATGTGTTAACATACATACATTTATTTCATAGTTCTGTGTGCTGAAAGGGCCTAGAAGCGACGACACTCCAGTAGCAATGAATACACCTAATGCCCAGATCTTGGTTTTTAAGTATCATTCTCGAATAAAAGGAACCAGGTGCTGCTTGGAGAAATGGCTGATGTTAGGGCTGGGACAAGAAAAATATGAGTGAACTTGAAATATCTTGTGGTGCCAGAAAGTAAGGAAGTGCTAAAAAAAAAAAAAAAAAAAAAAAAAATGATGGGGGCAATGCTGAAACAACACAGGATCCAACTTTACAGAGTTCAATGGCCAAATCTAGGCCTAAAAGAGCAACAAAAGAAACTTTGTATTAGATTATAAACCATAGAAAAAAACAAATATCTATTAGTTTATACTGTTATAAATTATTGAATAAATGGGAGGAAAGAGACAGCTCTTCCTTATAGTAGAATGCCAATTAATAAATATATTAATAAGGAAATATATTAATAAGGAAACAGGAAGTCATCATTAGGCAAATAGAACATTAATACTTGCTGTAAGCAAGAACCATCGATGGGCCCTGCTGGCATGGCCGAATGTCGACCCATGAACCAGGTCACAGTTCGATTCTGGTCAGGGCACATGCTTGGGTTGCGGGCTCAATCCCCAGTGTAAGGCATGCAGGAGGCAGCTGATCAGTGATTCTCTCTCATGATTGACGTTTCTATCTCTTTCTCCCTCTCCCTTCCTCTCTGAAATCAATAAAAATATATTTAAACAATAAGAAACATCAATGGATGCTAAAATCAGGAGGGAAAATTCTAAGGGTAAATAAGGCATTTGCATGGCTTCAAAGTATCCCCTCAGAACACCCTTCCTAATTTCAAAAGAGAATCTGTAATTTTACAGTGGAGAAACTTGATGCATACCACCTCAGCCATGTGATCAAAGTTAACTTTATCCCCTGCTGGAAGGCACTGAGAAGGGCGCACTCTTCCTGGGGTCCTTGTCTTGCCAAAAATGTAGACCCTCAATCTAATCATGTGAAAACAGTAGATTAACCAAATTGAGGGACATTCCTCAAAATAACTGACCTGGACATTTCAAAAGTGTCAAGGTCATGAAAGTCAAAGAAAGACAGAGGAACTATCATAGGTCGAAATAGATGAAGGAAACATGACAACAAAATGCAAGGCAGGACCCTGAACATGCCTTAGATCCTGAACCAGAAAAAGAACATCAGTAGCAGAATTGGAAAAATTTGAATGTCCACAGATTAGTTAGTAGAACTGTATCAATGTTAATTTCCTGATTTTAATAATTATACCATGGTTTTATAAGATCTTAATATTAGGAGAAGCTAGGTGAAGGTTATACATTAATTCTATTATTTTTGCAACTTTCTGTAATTCTAAAAATATTTTAAGGAAGGGAAAAAAAAAGGACAGCAGTCACTGAGGTAGGGAGCAGCAGACATAGCTCCTTGAGGGGCTAGATAATGATTGTTAGAGCTCACATCCTGGCTTATGACTGTCTTCTACCCACCATATTGTTATGACATTCTTCCATCACACGAGGGACTTTGCTTCCTGCCCCCATTTTCTGCTTCCTGAAAGAGACGCGCTAACACCAAAGGAGGGTTCCAAACGGCCCTGCAGGGAGAGGGTGACCACCAATGGGGACGCAGATGATGCCCAAGGACACAGCAGGCCTTGCTGTGCTCCGCTAAGCTGAGGCTGAAACAAAGGGGACAGTTTGCAGCCCTTCTGCTTAGTGCCTAACATGCAGACTGCACGGGGGAGCTGTTTATTCCAGGCTAACTTAGCTGGGACAGCAGTGTAGATAGGGCTGAGGCAGACCCCATGATCTCTAGCTTTTCCCCTAGAGCTCCCTAGGGTCTATGTTGTTAGTCTCCTGAAGGAGGTCTCAGAGAGTTGAGCTTACTTGGATCATTTGGCATTAGAGTCCCAGAGCAGGCCAGTGTGGTGACCCAGTCAGCCTTCCTCCTAGAAGTGCTCTACATCGGCTAGTTCCAAGGCTGGAAAAACCTGGTCTGGCCTGACCCCAGAACACAGGGTGAGAAGGAACAGTAGCTATGATATGGCAGTGGAAGGGGGAAGGGTTCTAAGGGTCCCTTTCCCTTGGAATTTTAGGGCATGGAAAAGAGGTAGTTACAGCCTCAACTGAAGAACCTCTGTGCCTGAGCCTCTGTACTCTTTCTCCACGCTCTGTGGAGACATTCTGAGGGCCAGCAGAGGGTGGCAGGTCATAGTCTGCCCCTGTCTTCTTCCAGCCAGATCTGTTCTTAGCTGCCATACTCTGAGCTTCCAGAGAACACGATCAAGTTCCAGAGACTATGGGGCATGGAGATCATGCTGAAGGACAGAGATAAGGGACCTCCTCTCCTCTCTGCTTGAAGGAGGTGCAGGGGCAGCTCCTCCTGGAGACTGTTAGCAAGCTTTGGACCCACAACAAAGGGGGCAGGGGAGGGGTCTTGCAGGGGCTGTGAGGAGGTAAGAGGCTGGGGGGAGAGGAGTAGGAGGTATGAGGGGAAGGTAGGTCAGTTGTCATGCCACAGCTGAGGGGCCTTTATTGGACGTTGAGGGCACTAGGCAGGTAGGTAGATGCTAGAGGGTGTGGCACACCTTCTCAGGGTGTAGTGGTGCCCGGATGTCCAGTTTGTGGGTCTTGCTGTCCTTATCGATGATCTCCAACCGCAGTGTGGGTGAGCGCTTCTCAGCCTGGGGTGAGGGCAGATCAGGGCTCTTGAGTAGCTGCTTGTCTGAGTCCTCCACAGTGATACGCAGAGTACAGCCCCCTGGCAGCAGGTCCTGTTCATAGGCGGCTGCCAACTGGTTCACCACACGGCGTTCTACCTGCAGGTCGCAGGTGAAGTGGTCGTCACTGCTGAGGCCTGGGCAGGCCTGTGGCCTGAGCCTGAAGGTCAGGCTCTATCGCTTACTATTGTGCCTTTGCTTGGCATGAAGGCCAGCCTCTATCATTACTGCTAGGACAAGCACTTATGCTGAGCTTCAGTTTTCTCATCTGCAAAGGGCTAACACCACAGCTTGCAGGATTGTGCTAAAAACTCAATGTCAGTTTCTAAGGTTCCCAATACAGTTCCCCATCCCTGTAGGGGTTACCCTCCAAAACAGGGTTTGACTTGATCATCCTGTGTTTTTTATTCCATAAGGGCATCTGTTCTGGGTAGGAACAATTCCAGGCTGGGAGCCCAGGGACTGGGTCTAGGGGTACCGGGGAGGGAAGTGTGGAGGCACCTGTGCTCACCTCATGCTTGATGGAGCGGGCGCCATAGTGCACATTGTAGCCATCAACCAACACGTCTGCCACCTCTCGGTCCCAGAGCAGTGTGATATTGTGCCTTTGCTTGGCCTGAGAAAGGTCCGACAGGAGTATGTCTGCATGTGGCCGAGGGCTTTCCATCTCTCATGCCTGAGGCCTGTGCCTGTGAGAGACTATGTGCCCCAGGGCCACTGGCCACATACCACCTTTTGGGAGGTGGTGCTCCCAGTGGGAAGATATCCCATCCCAACCCATGGGCAGTCCCCACTCTTACTCTCTTGGCCCAGAAGTTCAGTTCCTTGTTGACTAGCTGGATGAGCTCCGAGTGGCAGAAGGGGAGGAAGTAGACGATTTCATTGATTCGTCCCAAAAACTCATCCCTCCGGAAGTGAGCCTGCAGAGCCAGATAAGGAGTGAGGTCAGTGACAGAGATGGGGGTAAAGGCAATTACTGGACTCCAGTGGAGAAGATATGGGGGCTTCCATAGCTTAGGCCAAGGGGATCCCCCACCCAAGGCTCCAGTGGGAAGGACAAAGGCCTCTTACTTTCAGGATGGGCCGAATCACGTTCTCTTTGAAATTCTTTGATATGGTGATCTTGTCACTAATTTGGACATCCCCTGTAGAAACAGAATCATAAACTGACTACTCCCCACACCCAGGGGCTTTGGGAGATGTGCCAGCCCCTTGACCTCGTCCATGAAAAGAGCCCCGGTCCTGTCCCTGATGAGCTGTGTGATCCTGGTCAATGCCTCAGGCTCTCTGGGCCTTGGCCTGGTCTTCTTACTTGAACAGTGAGAGGACTGGTCTGGGTGCTTTCTGAGGCCCTACCAGCTCTTATGTACCACAAAGCCTGGGGTTCTTACCGTGAAAGTTGTGTGACAAAGGGAGGGAAGAAGAGAGTCAGGATCAAGATTTTAGTTTTGACTTAGAAGAAGGGGGGCAGGAGGGTTCAATTCCAAATGGAAAGGTGACTTCTGTCTGGTACACTCTTCCTTTCCAGCACTCTCCAGCCTACCTACCCAGGAAGGCTCCTCGGCTGAAAAAGTTTGTGTCCATCTCCATAGTTTCTGTTAACTAAGGGTCCCTTCAGTTCCCCAAGACCCTGGCCTCTTCCTGGTCCTTCACCTGGGGTGCTCCATCCATTCCTCTGTCTGGGACCCTCCTGTCACCTGAGACCTGGGGCTTTATAGAGGAAGTAAGGGCATTGTCTGTCTCCCTCTATATCTGGTATGGTGCTTGGAATCTGGTCACTGCCAGCTACCAGGATCCTCACCAAGGCCTAGGACCCCAATGCCATCCTTGCCCCCAAGAGATGTGCTGGTGATCTGGGCACTTGCCCAGTTGCCTAGATAGCCCAGGCTATGTGCCATACCAAGGTTCTCGGCGATACGGTTACGGCTCATCTCCAAAGCTTCCTGCCTCAGCTGCAGTGCGTGCTGTGCGATCTCATCACTGGCCACATTGGAGGTCATAATGAAGATGGCGTCCTTGCAGTCGATGGTTTTCCCTTTTCCATCTGTCAGCCGGCCCTGGGAATGAACAGTGACTGTACAGTTAGGGAGCTACAAGACCGAGCACCTCTTCCAGGAGGTCTCTCCAGAACCCATGTCTCCCCTACCCCTGGCAGAGTCAGCTGCTTGCTCCCTGGATTCTCTGAGCACTGTTCTCGCCCTCGGTTGCAGTGCTCACTACCCTGGGCTGCAACTGCTTCACGTACTGAGCACCTGCAGTGAGACGCCATTTGCTGTGTCAACAGTCAGGGTACCTAATTATCCCTGGCACCCAGAAGTCAGCTTGATTTCACATGCACCCATCCAACACACTGTTCTGGAAGCCCACTCTAGTCCAGGCTCTGTGTTGGGGCACTGGGGACCCACTGAGCCTTTGACATGCTCCCAGTCTAGAGGAGTGACACTTAGGAAACCAGTAATGACAAGTCAGTGCATTAAGTGTCATCACAGGGAAAGCCCAAGTTGCTGTAGTTCAGAGGAGGGTATTTCACTGGGCCACTGTGAAGATGAGATATGGTCATACTGAAGAATATTCCTTAGTTAACCAAGCCGTGCAAATTTATTTTTCACTTTACCCACATCTGTCTTTATTAAAACTGTGCAAATGTTGTGAAATGTTATTACTGTAGCAAACACATATATATTTGTTGAATCAAAATGAATAGAAACAGAGAGGAATAGAAAATAATGTTCTTCCTTTAACCAACATGGGAAGTTTCCTTGGAATCTTTCTTTCTAGAAGTGACATAAAAGAGAGCATCTGTACTGGAGACAGATGCACCAAGGAAAGAGAAAAGGAGCAACATCAGAGGAAGAGACAGAAGAATAAGGAAAGTATCGGTCATTTAGTTCAAGGGCAAGGAGCTCCACCCACTCAGCAAACCTCACATCTATCACCGTAAGCAGCACTTTGCAGTAGAACAAAAGCAATGATCAGGATCTCACTGAGAGGCACTGATGGGCATTTCTGCCATAGGGACCTGCTTAATGTTTCCTGTGTACTATTGCACTCCACCCACCAGAAGCTCCAAGAAGGCAGAGGCTGGATCTTGTTCTCGCTGGGTCCTAGAACAGTGTTTGGTGCATAGTTAAGTGTTCAGTGCCTGTGTGTGAAATGCCTGAATCCTCACAACCCCTACAGAGCAACTGAGGCTCAGGGAGGTTAGGTAACTCATTCAAGGTCTCACATTAGTAAACTCTACAGCTGAGGCTCAAACTATGTGATCACAGAGACACGCCCTTCCTTCTGCACCAGTCTACTGAGGTCATACGAACAGTGCTGGATAAATGAGGCTCCATGAAATTTTCTTTCCCTAAGTAAAATTTTCTCAGAATTCTGCCAAATTTAGTTTGCATCCTTTGATCCTTGCTGGAGAGAAACAACTGAGACAAGTGTGGGAAGAAGGAGACCTGCCTGGGATTTCCTCTGGGTTACAGACAGAACGTAGCTCCTACCAGGCCAGATAACATGACTCAAGAGGACAGACAGGTCTGTGGGCTCCTGCCTGACCCAGCCTCAGCTGGAAACCAATCCTCAAGCATTTTCCTTTCCCTGTTGCCCTGACTCAAAGTCAGCCCCTGCTTCTAAAACCAAAGCAATGGTGCCCTAGCTGGTTTGGCTTAATGGATAGAGTGTCAGCATGTGAACTGAAAGGTCCCAGGTTTGATGCCTGGGTTTCAGGCTCAATCCCCAGAAGGGGGCGTGCAGGAGGCAGCCGATCAATGATTTTCTCTCATCACTGATGTTTCTATTATCTCTTTCTCTCTCCTTTCCTCTCTGAAATTACTAAAAAATAGAAAATCTACACTAATAAAAGAGAAACATGGTAATTGGCGTATGACCGCTACCCTTTTCATCGGCTAATCAGGGTGATATGCAAATTAACTGCCAACTAAGATGGCGGTTAACCGCCAACAAAGATGGCGGTTAATTTGCATATGTAGGCACAATGCAGGGAGGCGAAAGGGAAAGCAGGAAGAAGCCCCCTGCCACTGACAGTGATCGGAAACCCAGGGGGGAGCTAAGAGCCGGGGGGCAGGGCAAAGGCGGGCCTGGGGGCCACCTTTGCCCTGCCCCCCAGCCATGATCGGAGAATTGGGAGCCTTTGCCGCCCTGGCCAGTGATAGTAGGAAGTAGGGGTGGAGCCAGCGATGGGAGCTGGGCACGGTCGAAGCTGGCAGTCCCGGGAGCTAGGGGTCCCTTGCCTGGGCCTAGAGCGGAGCCTGTGATAGCGGGGCTGCTGCAGCTGCGGGTCCCCGCTGCCCGGGACGGACGCCTCAGCCAGAGGCGTTAGGCCTGGGCAGGGGCAGACCCTGCAACTGCGGGGAGCTGGGGGTCCCCTGCCCAGGCCTAATGCCTCAGCCAGAGGCGTTAGGCCTGGGCAGGGGCAGAGCGGGAGATCGCGGGGAGTTGGGAGTCCCCTGCCCAGGCCTAATGCCTTGGCCAGAGGCGTTAGGCCTGGGCAGGGGCAGAGTGGGAGATCGCGGGGAGCTGGGGGTCCCCTGCCCAGGCCTGACACCTCTGCCAGAGGCCTTAGGCCTGGGCAAGGGGCCGATCCGGTGATCGGCGATCAGAGGGTGATGAGGGTCAACTCCTCTGGCTGAGGCATCAGGCCTGGGCGGGGGGCGGAGCCAGCAATCGGAGTGGGCTGGGGGTCCCCTGCCCAGGCCTGAATCCTGGGCCAGAGGCATCAGGCCTGGGCTGGGGGCAGAACCAGTGATGGGGGGAAATGAGGGTCCCCTGCCCAGGCCTGACATCTGGCAGAGGCGTCAGGCTTGGGCAAGGGGCTGATCCTGTGATTGGAGAGTGATGGGGGTCAACGCCTGTGGGTTCCCAGTATGTGAGAGGGGGCAGGCTGGGCTGAGGGACACTCCCCCCCCCCTAGTGCACGAATTTCGTGCACCGGGCCCCTAGTAATAAAATAAAATAGAAATATTAAAAAACAAAAACAAAGAACCCCAAAGCAATGGTCCTCATAGGCAATATGGGAAGGAATGTGCATTGCCTGAGCACCTATTGCATGCTGGCCATGGTATTGGGTGCTTTTCAGCCTCACTTTACACTAGCCCTTGGAACAGGCCTCTCAGAAAGTGTTATTTCCAAGGGGGTCTATTCAAAAGGGGCCTTGTGATCTAAGTCCCTGCTCACTCTCCTGTCCCTGCCTTTGGATGGGACAAGGGGAAGGCAAGGGAACAAATGGATATTCTTGAGCTTTTGCCATTAGTTTTATTGCTTATAGGTTATAATACGAGAGAATCCACTCCTTAGTGGGGACCAGGTCTGCATGAGTATGTGACATGCCCAGGTGCATGCATACGACACTATATGTTCACAGTCATTCCTGAGGACTGAGTGCACACACTGCTGCACTGGCCAGAGCAATAACCAGCGATGATTTCATTCTGAGATCAAAGCTGTGCTCATAACTGGGCCTGAAGATGGGTCCCAGGTGGATCAGGGGAGCAGGTGCAGTGTATGACTGACCCAAGGGTGACTTCATGTCTCTGTCCTCAGAGTCCTTGGCAATAAAGATGTGTCCCAAAGAGGGAGCTGTCACTGTCCCACCTTTCAGCAATGACTGGAACGCTCACACCCTGGGTGGGGTATGAATGCTCATCCCAGGGCTCCAGGGGTGGTTTTTCCACTGCTTGTCTCTTTGAAGGGAGGAGCAGAGGGTGGGCTTTTTGAGGGCCAGTCTCTTCCTGGGACTGTGGCTCTGTGCCATAGGGGTCACGTGGGATGTGACCAGATTAGTCCTGCTTGGTGCTTTGAAGAGAACAATAAATTCTGCTTTTCTAGGCCCAGGCTTGGGAGAACTGGCAGGGTAGGAATGGGGGGTTTCCCTCATGCCCCCAGACTGGATTAGGTGCCCTTACAACTCACAGCACTTGCTTCTCGTAGTGCAGCACTCATCATAGTTCCCTGAACTGCCTTTTGTTGCTCGTCTCCCCCACTCATTCATGAATACCGAGGCAGGGACTGTGTTTGATCTGTGTCCCTTCTGCCCCATAATGAACCACAGTCTCTTGTTTTGCTCTATCAATTCCCCCTTTGACTCTTCCTGGTAGGTGCAGGCTCTGTTTTAGCCCTTTCCTCTTCTCTGCACACTGTATTCTCCCTAGTTGAGAGATCTCATCCCTTCCCTTAGTTTCCATTACCCTGTCTGTGCTGGACTATTCCTGAATCTCTATGTCTAGTACATACCTCTCCTATGCTCCAGACCAGCGGTTAACAACTGGTGGTCCGTGGACCACTGGTGGACTGTGAGGTCCGAAAGGTTGGTGACCGCTGGTTTAAGGAAACCTTTGGAGCAATGGTCGCCAACTGGTGGTCCGTGAGGTCCAAAAGGTTGGCAACCACTGCTCCAAACCTCTCCAACTGATGAATGACCACTTAGACATCTCTATCTGGCTGTTCCTCAGGCATTGCCTTTTAACAGTACTAAACTCAGCTCTCCACCTTCCTCTCCAATTTACAGCTCATTTTCCTGCATTTCCTGCCTCAGATGATAGTAGCAGCAGCAGTCCAGTCATCCAGGCCAGAAATCCAGCCACTGATCTCCTTAGCTCCGCCTTCTCTCTTCCCATCCAATCACTGAGCCCTGCACAGTGACCTCCTGGTAATTCTCCCCATCCCAGGGTCCTGCTTTAGACAGGCCTCCCAGCTCTGAACTCTTCAATAGTCTCCTCGCTGCCCCCTTCTTCTTTCCTTCCTCTCACAGCTATCAATAAGAACTTCATAAAGTGAAAACCTGACCATGTTTCTCTCTTGCTTAAAGTTTTTAAAGGCTCCCTATGATCCACCAAATAAAACTATGTTCCTTTGCCTGGCATTTTAACTGGCCCCAGTCTATCTAACCCACCTCATGTCTACTATTCTGTTCTCACTTTCCTCTGCAGTCAAGCAGTATGAACTGCCGGTCCCTGGGTATAGCAGGCTGCCTCATGCTCCCTATGCTTCTGCACATCTGATGTCTGCTGCTGGCCCTTCTCACCTATGTTCATCTGGCAAACACTTATTCATCCTTAGAAGGTTTGCTTAATCACGTTAGTCACAAAGCATTTCCCGTGATGTTGTGGGCTCTGGCAATGGTTGGAGTAGGACAAGGTCCCTGTCCTCAAGGGGCACAATGCATATATCTGGCTAAGCAAACTCGGATGGCAGCTTTGGTCAATGGCACCAAGGGCATAAATATCAGAAACTGCAGTGGGCTAGTAGAGGCTGCAGAAAGGAATTATCAACTCCCAAAAGGCCGTTGTGGAGTGACAGCAGGGGAGGGGTGGACAGGGTTTCCATGTGGGGCCAATTGTATTTCAGTCTGCAGTTGCCTTCTGTCTTTCTGGGCCAAGGAGGCCATCAGAGGTACCTCTCCAGGGATGGCAGAGGCCAAACCGGCTGCTGGATTCTCCCTTCCTGTGAATGCTTCACTGCTGATCTACCTCTTTCTTTCGGTCCCAGTGGCATGGAAGTTATTATTTAAGCTGCAGGAACTGAACTGCTTGGGTTCGAACCTGGATTCCCTCTTTCCAGCTGTGTGACCATGGGTGAATTACTTATCTCACTTTACTTCAGTTTCCCCATTTGTTACATGGAGGCAGTAATAATATCTATCTTCCTAAGGTTGTTGGGAGGATTAAAGGAATTGATACATGTACATTTTCAGAACAGTGCCTGGCATACAAAGTACAAAAATATCAACTATTATCACATGTCCTTTCCACCTGTCTACCAGGCAGGGAGCTCCTGGAGGGCAGGTTTGGTGCACAGCTGACTATCTGAATCCCATTGAGTCTGGAACAGAGCAGAAGGTTTTAGGGCACAGGCATAACTGAATTTGTGACATTTGAAGGACTGGTCTTCATTCAACAGCAGAAGTCTGGGGATAGGGAGTAGCTGAGAAGCTAGGAAGACCTCAACAAAACTCGGGCAGGGGCAAGGATGCTAGGCCAGGTGGGGAAGGTGGTGGGAAGCTGTGGGGACATTTGAATGTGGGTCTTCTTGACTTGGTACCTGATCTACTATTTGGTCCAGGGGGAGTTCCTTCATGTACCTCATCTAGTGCAGTTGTGACAGGGGAAGCAAAACTCTTTCCTGTTTCCCTAGGGCTAAGTAGAAAAGGTGGGTAGAACTCCATGTGGCAACATGCTGGCTAATAGAGCTTACGTGAGGGAGAAGAGAAGGCTCATCCTGGTCTGCAGTCCCTGGAAAAGGTGGAGGTCATCCCCTTCAGATAAGCTCTCCCTCAAGGTAAGGAGCGGTACAGAGGGGAGAACTGGGGCTCTAGGGTCAGATGTATTTGCAGCTCAATCCTGGCTCCTCCACACAGTAGCTCTGTGGCCTTGGGCAAGTCATTTATAACTGCTGAACCTCGATTTCTTCATCTGTGAAAACTGAGATTGTTTCTACCTTGCATGGCTATTGTGATGATTAGTGATACCATCTGTAAAGTCTTTAGCACAGCCTGGTATATAGAATGTGCTGAATAAAAGGGCTTCTTCTTCTCATTTAGAATTTACTCCACGTGTATGTGTGCATGTGTGTGTGTGTGTGTGTGTGTGTGTGTGTGTGTGTGTAGTGGGAGGGAGATGCTGTCTCATTTGTGATGAGCCTGGAGCTCCTTGGAAGAGGTCCATGAGCCAGAAAGGTTCTTGAGCTTACTTTGGATTCAGCCTTCCTGTATGTCACATGAGGTTCCTGATGCCTGAAGATGAAACAGCTGGAACTACAAGTTCAGGTCTTTCTCTCCTGGCACCTCTGCCCCATTCTGTTTCTCTGGAAGGTAGCCTGGGCCTTCGTCCAGAGAGGGAGTGAAACCACATCTGCTAAGTGCCCAAATGTACACATGGGGGAGCAGCAAGATGAGGAATGATCTGACAGGCCTCTAGGCCCTTGGTTCCTACTGCTCATAGACCCTCATACCTAAGGGTGTCCCTTCCTCCATTCCGGCCCATTTCACCTCATCAAACAGCTGTAGCATGATGGTAAGCACATCTGGATGGGCCTTGTCCACCTCGTCAAAGAGCACCACGGCATTGGGGCATTGTTTCAGCTTCTTGGTCAGCTGGCCACCCTCCTCGTGGCCGATGTAGCCTGGTGGGGACCCAATAAACTTGGCCACCTAGGGGAAGGAAGGAAACATGTTACAAAGGCCTTTCCATGCTTTGAGTTTCCAATTTGGGGCAAGCATAAGAAGATGGCTTTACATACAATGTTAAGACTGCCTATCTCAACAAGGAGTGTCAGGCTGAATCCTGGGGTGGCAGGAATCCTGCTATGATGGGAGAGCAAATAGATCTTTCCTATGCTTGTTCTTCAGAGCAAATCTTATGCAAATAGGCCAGTGACCCTGCTGTACACATATGTCCTCAAAGGACAAATCCCAAGGCTGCTGGAATTATCTCAGGCTCAAATGACAAGCCACATCAAAATTCTCAGCCCTGCAAACCACACTTCACCGAGGACTCTCACTCACCTCATGCCGCTCCTGGAACTCAGACATGTCCAGCCTGATGAAGCCCTGTGTGGAAACAAGCACGAGTCCAATCGGCAGGAAGGCAAATACCCACAAGCTTTCAGACCACACCAACTCAGGACCTTCCATCCCATTCTTGTATGTTCTTTCTGGCTCCTTGCCTCTTTTTCTGTCCACTCAGTCCCTACATGATTCCATTCCTTACCATAACGAACCAAGTCATGTCCCTGTCCTTCTAAATTGGGCCCAGAATGTCTCCTTTCTCAGGCAGGCCTCTACTGGTCTGATTACCACATCATCCACCCAACCTCCCGTTCTGCCATCCATTCCACATTTCCTGAAGGCATCCGTGTGTGCTGAGCACTGGAACTACAACAGTTTAAACAAGACTTGGTCTCTGTCCTTGAGGGGCACCCGTTGAGTAGGGTGGGCAGACATGGACAAAGTCAGTCACAATCAGCGTGGATCATGATGACATGGAGGGGAGCGACCAGAGGGCTGCATGGTGCCCTCACATTTGCCAGTCATTGTAGGCACATGCCCTTTTAGTTTACTTTTCTTTTAAACAAATAAACCTTTTTATTTATTTACATTTCTTTATTTCATCTAAAGGCACCCATAATGTAGCTTGCAGCCTTTCTCTCACCACTGCTGGGCTAGGGGTGATTTCCAAGGAAGTGGTCCCCTGGGGTGAGGCCTGACCATGATTAGCCCTGGAAGAGAACACTGGGTAGTGTGGCATTTGTGAGCCAACACAGGCAGAGAACACACCCCTTTTCATGAAGACTTTAGGGAGTTATAAAGGCATTCATGGGTGCCGTCCATCCACCCATACAGGGTACCCCACTCTCTCCCCAGGCTCCTCTCTTGCTGGCACATGCTCCTGTCTGAGAGAGCACACTCATTAACCTCATGTCTCTTGAGAGCTGGGGATGACGGGTGCCAAGGCCCTGGGAGGGTGGTAGCTATATTTGAAATGCAGGCCTATTCTAGCTCAGTCTTTGGTCTCAAATTCACTCAGTGATGTACTTCTAGTTTTTTCTCTGTCCTGTCACTCTGTACCCAAGGTACGGGGTGGCAGAAAGAGCCCCAGGCTGGCAGCCAGGGGCCTGCTTCTAGTCTCAGTCCTGCCACTATCTGTGTGGCCTTAGGTACACTGCCTCCCCTTTCTGTGCTATAGTTTTTCCTGTGTAACACAGACCCTGTTTCCTCTCCTAGTCTTGCCAGGGGCCTGAGGAGAGGACCTAACCCAGAGGCGGGAAAGGCCTGGGAGAGTTATTAAGGTCATGTGGGGGTGATCCCTGCTATCTAAGCACATGGGACTTAGCCAGCAAGCATTTTCAGAAGGCCCAGACAGCTCAGCCAAGAGAAACAGGCTTCAGGAAGGGTGGGAAGATGGACATGGGGAAGCTGGGAGTGCTGCCCAGAGGGAGCAATGGGCCGGAAGCCATGAGATGGGTATCTGATAATAGCTCACAGTCATTTACTATGGGTGCTTACTATGTGCCTGGCAAGTTATAAAGGGCTCATAACATTTTCAAGTCTGTGAGGTAAGCACTATTATCATCCCCATCTTACAGATGATAAAACTGAGTCACAGATTTAAGTAACTTGCCCAAGGTTACTCAAGCTTGACAATTTGGCTCCAAGTTTACACCCTTAGCCATTTATTCTACTGCCTCATATTTCTGGCTCTGTCAATCAGTTGGGCTGTTGGCAGTCTTCATCTGAAGGGTTCTGAGTTTTGTGCCCAGATATCAATGTCCCAGGATACTGGGAGTATAGACTAGGGCAGGGGTGGGCAAACTTTTTGACTTGAGGGTCACAATGGGTTCTTAAACTGGACTGGAGGGCCGGAACAAAAGCATGGATGGAGTGTTTGTGTGAACTAATATAAATTCAAAGTAAACATCATTTCATAAAAGGGTACGGTCTTTTTTTTCAATAGTTTTATTCATTTCAAACGGGCCGTAGTTTGCCCATGGCTGGACTAGGGCTTACTTATGTCAAGTGATCTGGATTCTACTAAATTGTTAAGTAAATTTGAACAAGCCTCAGGGCTTGATTTTCTTGATTGAAATAATTTTGGTTTCATATGAGCTTAGCTTAGGGTTATCTAGAAGTGAGGCAAGGATAATGACAGTAATATCCAACCTGTATTGATTGCTTACCAGGTGCTAAGAATGTTGTTTATCATTTTATTTCATCTCATTAACATTCATAATAATCCAATGAGATAGGCACCATTTTAAAACCCATTTTGCAGATGAGAAAACTGATGTAAACTGAGATCCTGGCCAACTCCACAGAGCAGTTTAGAATTGGGATTTGAACACAGGCAGCTGGACTCAGATTCATGCTCTGACCCCTTTGTCATTCTGCCCTATAACTGCACATCTTTACGGCTCCACCACTCTATTTCAGGATGAGATCACAGAAAAGCATTAAGGTTTTTTCTCTCTCAAGGATTATTAACCCTAATAATGGGAGTTAATAAAGCTGCTCAGTTTGGGAGGCATAGTAGACGCTAATGAAAAAATAAGCTCATGGATCTGATAAAAAATTATAAAAATGTGCGAACAATGCCTTGCGAGGCAGCCAGGTCTAGAGCTATGAGTGACTTTTTATAAATGAGGCAACTAAGGATCTGAAAGCCAGAACTTGAATTCAAGTCACCGACTCCTAAGCCAGTGCTCATTTCATTTTGTTAGGCCACTTTAACACTGGACCCTATAGTGACACTTCCTACACACCACTCGTTGGATTCTGGAGGTATCAGATAGCTTAGGGTCCAGGGCTCTTGGATTTTGAAGGTCTCAAACATGCCTATTACCTGGCCATAGAATGTCTATGCTAAATGCAGAATCTGTAATCAGGGGTTCTGCAGAAGCACTACCTGTGATTTAAAAATAAAACACAAGAATATGATAGGATTCTCATGCCTCTCATCTCCCTATGCATCATAGGGACAAACTGAAAAGTTTACACTTTAGCCTCCTATTGCACGTGAGAACAATGATATTGAGAGAAGAGCTGAGAGACTGGCCCTGGCCAGTGTTGCTCGGTGGTTAAAGCATTAGCCTGTGTACCAAAGGGTAGCAGGTTTGATTCCCAGTCAAGGGCACATACCTGGGTTACAGGTTCAATCCCTGACCCAAATCGGGGCATGTGCAGGAGGCGGCCAATAGATCTGTCTTTCTCACATTGATGTCCACCCCTCCTCCTACTCTCTCTAAAAACATCATAGGGGCCAGGCTGGTGTGGCTCAGTAGTTGGGCATTGACCTATGAACTAGGAGGTCACGGTTCAATTCTTAGGCCACACGCCGGGTTTCCAGCTTGATCCCTGGTGGGGGTGTGCAGGAGGCAACCAATCAATAATTCTCTCTCATCATTGATGTTTCTCTCTCTCCCTCTCTTTCCTCTCTGAAATTTAAAAAAAAAAAAAATATATATGTATATATATAAATATATTTTTAAAATATATTTTATTGATTTTTTTTACAGAGAGGAAGGGAGAGGGATAGAGAGTTAGAAACATGAGAGAGAAACATTGATCAGCTGCCTCCTGCACCCCATCCCCGCCACCCCCCGGGGATGTGCCTGCAACCAAGGTACATGCCCTTGACTGGAATCAAACCCGGGACCTTTCAGTCCGCAGGCTGACGCTCTATCCACTGAGCCAAACCGGTTAGGGCAAAAAATATATATATTTTAAAAAATCATAGGGAAAAATACCCTCAGGTGAGGATTAACAAATAAACAAACAGAGTTGAGAGACTGGATTCTGATTTTACTTCTTCCTTTAACAACTGATCTTGGACAGACCCCTTAATGCTATAGGTCAGTTTTTGCATCTGAAAAGTGGGTCTGATTTAGCATCTATGCTGTTTTCCTCATAAGATCAAATAAGACAGTCAATAGGGGACTGATGTGGAAAATATGAGGTGATGAATAAATACAAGACAAGGGAACAGGCATTTACTATGTGCTAGAGCCTGAGCTCATTTGATGCTCTGACAACCTCAGACAAAATACTAGACAGTCTCACTCTGAGACAAGAGAGCTGAATTGTATAGGGATAAAGTAACCTGACAAAACAGAATTGGAACCTGTGCCAAGAAATGACTGGCTCCAGAACCTGGACCACCCAGCCCACTGCCTCCAAGGGGTGATGGCGTTACTTCAGTCTCCTGGGTGAGGCATGCGTTGAACGTGCCATCAGAACACCCTGCACTGTTGCAAACATGCCTCCAACTGAAGTGATGCTCCAAGTGAAAAATGACTTGCATCATCAGTCTTTCCACAAGCCCCCTCGCCTTTCTACACCAGCAAGTCAGCAGATACTTTCCTTCTACTTCCACTGTGTATGAAGACACATTAAGACAGCTCGGATAAGGAGATTATAATTTGTAATTAAATATTAACCTTTCTGACAGTATTAAAATTAAAACACTCAGAATTCTTCATCCCTAATCAGGTGGTTCCTGCCTGTAACTGCATCTTCCCTAATAGTCTTGCTAGTTTATGGCCCTTTCCAGAGTGCTAATTGTTTCAATCGCTGCCAACCTGATGAATTGTCTTAAAAATGCTATTTCAGTTGGAGCACACTAGCATGTCATGTGCTGCGTCTTGCCTGCCTGCCTGTCAAGTGGGTCCGCTCTGGGTTTGGCTGAGGCAAAGCATAGCTACTAGCAGAGGCAGGGAGGCTTAGAAGGCTTCAGCCAGTTATTAGGTAGAAGGAGGCCATGGATGCAGCTCAGGACACAGCCTGAGTTACCTTGTTTCTGTGGCTGCCAGGCCCTCAGGAAGGTGGCAAAGGGGCAACTAGGTCAGAAGCAGGACAGGAGGTGCCCAGGGCTCTGCTGCTGGGGTAGTTTGGCTGGCAAGGTCTGAGCAATTCTTATCACTTCAGCTGGGGAGGCGTTCCACAGAAATGAAGCAAGGGCACCTGGGGTCGTGGGCACCCACCAGTGGTGGGCAGGGGGACCTTAGCCTCCACACTGGGAAGGCTGGTAGAAGAAAGGAGGTTTGGCCTTCATTAAAATGTTCCTGCAGTCTCCAAGAATCGCTCTCTCTGGCATTTCTCTCTGCATGAACGTACTGCCTGTCAGCACAGAAAGTCAAACTGAGCAGGCCTGGGAAGCCAGAGTCTGAATGAGTAAGGGATGCGGTGGTCCTCTCCTGTGGAGAATCCAGGGCTGGGGAAAGGGGATTGTGACAACCCCACAGCTGAGACATAAGAAATCTGATTTGCCCTGGCCAGTATGGCTCAGTGGGTTGGACGTCATCCCATGCACGGAAAAACTGCTGGTTCCATTTCTGGTCAAGGCACAGGATGAGGTTGCAGGCTTAATCTCCAGTAGGGGGAGTGCAGGAGGCAGCGGCCGATGTTCTGCTTTCACATTGATGTTTCTCTCTCTTTCTCTCCCTTATTCTCTGTAAAAATCAATAAAAAACCTTAAAAAAAAAATTCTTAAAAAAGAAAAAAAAAGAAATCCTATCTAAAAGCTCATGTGGGATGGAGAGAAGCAATAAGACACCCCCTTGTTCCTACTTGTTTTCTCCTACAGGCCCCAGGACTCCCTCTGGCGTGGCCTTGATGCACAGTAATGGTATGTTTCTACAGCTGTTTCCTTCTCCAGACCGAGTTCCTCAGGGCAGGGAAAATGTCAAAATTAACGCTTTTTTTAAGGAACTAGTATAATACCTGGCACAGAGTAGATGCTTGAAAATATTGTATGGATGAATCTCACTGGGTTCTCCCATGTGCCCCAAGAGTCAGGGCAGGGCAAGGAGTAGTCTTTTTATTTCATAGATGAAGAAACTGAGGTATAAAAAAGTTGGATCACTTGCCCAAATTCCTGGAGCAATTGGTGGCTGAGTTGGGGCCAGAGGTGAGGCCTGCTTCACATTCCAGAGCCCCTTTTTTTTTTTTTTTTTTTTTTTTAGAAAATCCTCACCTGAGAATATGCTTATTAATTTTAGAGAGAGGGGAAGGGAGGGGGGGGGAAGAGAGAAAGAGAGAGAGAGAGAGAGAGAGAGAGAGAGAGAGAGAGAGAGAGAAGGAGCGAGAGAGAACCGTATATGGGAAGACACTCCGACCAACTGAGTCACACCGGCCAGGACCAGAGCCTATCTCTGATTGGCTATTGTCAGATTCAGGGAGTCTAGGGTTTTTTGGGCTAGCAGGAGTGACAAGGTCTCAAAGGCCTGAAGATCAGGCCTAGGTCCCAGTCCTTACCTTTTTGGCATCTTTGTGCATGTATTTGGCTGTCTGCTTGGCCAGCTCTGTTTTTCCTAGTAAGAAAGAAGGGAGAGGAATTGGGTTAGGACCAGATAACTATCTCCTGGAATGAAATGTTAGAAAAGTATGGACACTGAAAATCATATGTTTTATGGATGGAAATGTTGACCCTTGGAGAGGGTCAGTGACTCTTACAAAGTCACCAAGGGAATTAAAGGTGAATGAAGCTGGGACCAGAATCAAAGTGTGAATTGCACCTTGATTTTCCAGTGGATGAGGACTGAGGCTTTTTCTCTAGAGCAACATCCTAAGAGTGGGAGGTTGACTCTTATAATTCAGAGCCAACTCGTCCTTTGAAGCTCAGCACAAACCTTGCTCCTCCAGGAGCACCCTGCCTCCTGGCTCACTGCACTGCATGTTCTCTAGACACCCATGATCTTGCCAGCAGGCCTGGAGCCACCGACCAACTAGAGGTAGGGAGGGCACCTCTCCTTAGCTTCACAGACTTTGTAATATAAAGAAAGAATGACACTACCCAAGTGGTGGCTCTGAAGGGCCATTTGGTAGGATGGTCAAGCCTTTGGAAGTCACTGTCTAGATAGAAAGTCAAGTTCTATAGCAGTGGTTCTCAACCTTCTGGCCCTTTAAATACAGTTCCTCATGTTGTGATCCAACCATAAAATTATTTTCGTTGCTACTTCATAACTGTAATGTTGCTACTGTTATGAATCGTAATGTAAATATCTGATATGCAGGATGGTCTTAGGCGACCCCTGTGAAAGGGTCGTTCGACTGCTGAAGGGGTCGCGACCCACAGGTTGAGAACCACTGTTCTATAGTATCGTGGTGAGGTGGTGGTAACCTTTTTTGGACCCTATATCTGAGGGAGATGTAAGCCCACAAAAATGCTGAGGGAAAGAGGCGGCAGTGGCAACAAAATGCATGAAATTCCCCAAGTCAATGCAGAAGGTAGTGGAGCTAGGGAGTAAGGGGTGAGAATGCCTTAGCCTAACTGGCTAGAAAAATACCCAACCCGTTTTACTGTATCCAATTTTGCTATGCACCTAGCACTGTATTGGTCCTCGGGGACTTTCTTTAGCTTCCTAGCAGGTTATGTCTCAGGTTATATTGAATAAGATTGATGTGCTGGGCAGTGAAGCTGGTTTAATTGTACCCAAAGGCCAGCCTCAGGGGATGTAGAGTGGTTGGAGCAGGGCTACCAGGCCCCACAGAGCCTGGCCCTCCAGGTGAATTAGGCCCCGCACCCTAGCTTCCAAAGGGAGGGGCATCCTTCCAGCTATTCCTGCTGTGACAGATGACCCTCTTGTGGGCTCTGTAATTTGGAGGCAGTTGTATGGGGAGCTGGAGTTGAACTAGAGGTGGGTGGCCTGACCCTGGCCCACAGCAGCTGAGGCTCCCTCAGTTCCTCTCCCCCCTGGCTGATCTGCTCCCATTACCTATTCCAGATGATCCCAAGAAGAGGAAGACCAGAGGGTGTTCTTCGTCATACCAGCCATTCTCCTTCCTCCGGATCGCTAGGGCCAACACACAAGACAGGGGACGGGGAGGGAGGCAGATAAATCAATGACACAAAAGGCAGGATAATTATCACTAAGTATACAATATGTTTTACTGCTCTGCGCCCACTCAAAGTCCTCACTACCATTAGTGCTGCCTAATCTGATTAGCTGGCAAGGCCCCTAGAGATACCTAATCAGGTTAGCATGGATTTGGAAAGCTGCCCAGAGCAGATTTCGGATAAAGTTTTCCAGGATGAGCACTCAGCGTTGCCAGGGAAACTGAAAGGCGGGTGAATGGAGGTGAGGGGGCTGGGGTTGGTGACGGAGAATTTGAGAGGAACTTTAGCTCTCAGCTGGTTACCCATCTATAACCACTGGTGGGAGACTCGCCTGCCTCCAGTGCAAATGGGAGAGGCAGGAGCCCACAGCAGGCCCCTGGGGATCTGGGGTGTGAGCTCTGGACTCTTTCCCATTTGGGAAAACCAAGGTCTGGTCTGCTGTCTGGAAATACAGTCAAACGCACTTTCTGGAAGCCAGTTAAGTAGTGGAGCTCAGGGCATGAAAGGGTGAGCCATCTGGTTAACATCTCCACTAACCATGGCCTCCAGGGGTTTGGGGTGGGACAGAGATGGGGGGAATGGAATAGATCTGTACCAGGTTCCCTAGGGGCGCAGCTCTGCTAGAACCAGACCTGACCTCTCCTCTCCAGGAGGAAGTATTTAAGGGTAAGGAAATTACATGCCCAAGTATAGAGTGGGAGAATCAGACTCAGAAGTATCCTCAAGTATAAAAGCAGGAGGCAGAACTATCAGAGGATGAACAATTATTGAACAGACTATCTACTAGGCACAGTTGGAAAAAATCAACATTTTATTACTCAAAACCTACATAAAGAATTTCCAAGAGGAAATTATCAGCTCTATTATTCTCAACAGGAAACTGAGGTAAGAGAGAAAGAGATCTGCCTATGGTACACAACTAGATTACTAGTTGACTGGCAGAGATGGAAGACTTGCTTCTCTCTCTTAAACTGGTCCTTTTGCGTCACATAGAGCTGCTTAAAGAAGCAAGCATCACTTTGGGTTACATTAATGGTTACATGGCAGTCAGAGCAGGAGGGGATAGAGTGCTATGCAATGTCAAGGTCAGTTTGCAGATGGAACAGCATGTATGGTCTGGTCCCCAGAGAGACAGGGGGAGATTAGCAAAGGGATATATGTCAGAGGACAAGGCCCAGAATCTAAGTCAACTGAAAAAAGAGTTGATGGCTTTAGGGATGTGTCTGCCAGTCTTGAGGTGTAAAGATCCTAAATACTATATGTATGGTATGTATGATCCATATGGTTGGGTTTCAAAGAAGAGACTGCAGAAGCCAAGGAAGGCTTTTGGAAGAAGTGGGACTGATGATGTACCATGGAGGCTGGGTAGGATCTGGAGAGCAAAGGTGGCCAGCATGACAGAAGTGGAGACAGGAACACACATGAGCAGCAGTGGGTGGGGTCAGATTACAAAGGTCTCAAATACTAGGAGCTCAGGTCCATGCTGTGGTCTTTCTTTCTTTTTACTTTTTCTTTTTTTTTTTCTGTGGTCTTTTTCATGTCAATCTCTAATGCTGCTACTTCAAATACTTTCTAGTTCTGGCCTCAGCAGAAACAGGTGGAAACTGTGTGACTTATGGAAATCAGACTAACCACTTTGCCTGCCTGGGAGATGCTCCCTGAAAAATCCCGAGGGGCCCGAGAAAACACCATCCGACCTCTCCCCTGGGCTGGGTCCAAGGCATCACTAAACTAACTGGCCCCATGTTCTGTAAGGCCTGGCTCTCCAGGGACCCCAGAGCCTCACAGGTACCTGAAGGCTGAGGATGAAGGGGAGGAGTCCAAGCTTGGCTGAGAGGGAGTCCCCAAGTGTCCTGAATAAAACAAGAACCCAGGGGTGGGGCTATTTGGAGAGGTAGAGATATTATAAAATGGCAAGGCTAGACTTTTGCAAACACTAGGTGTTGATGTCTGTTGGGGTGGTGGTGAAAGGGATCATCTGAAAGGAGTCAAATTCTTCTAAAAAATGGCTGAACTGAGAATCTAGGTTGAAAAGAAGCTGAGCATAAACTGGGTTCAGGCTTCATGAGGTATCTGGAGAGGAAGAAGTGTCCAGGTATGACTTAGGTGGCCTGGGGCTCCCCAGGTGTCATGCACCTGAGGTTCTGATCTGGACTTCTTTCAGGGAAGCTGTCCAGCCCGCCGAGAACTGCACACTACAGGGCGATGCAGTTCTAACACACCGAGGAGAATGTGCAATTGGATTGTGCCTGCGGCCTTCTTTCCTCCTTCTTTTCTAATAATGCACCTGGGAGAAAGCTCTTTATAATGCCAGGCAGACCCCTGCACAGCTGTCACTGGTCAATTCTGCCAGACCCAGGGCATGAGTCTGGGGTGGACTTGATCTGGGCCTCCTGTGAAACAGGAGAAATGCCAACCATTAAACAATTACAACTCTGGATATTTCTAATAATATCTGAAGAGAAAAACGGCCAAGCAGATGGTGTCCGACAGAATGAAAAATGGAAGCAGCTAGGAAGGACTGAGGAAGGTGGGCGCCAGGAGGTGTGGTAGGCAGGGTGGCTGAGGACAAGGCTGGGACAGACAGAGACCTGAACAGGCCCATGTAGGATGCGGCCATAGGTACTGGCACTCTCACTGTGAACCAGCGAAGGCAGCATCTCACTCTGCCAACACTTCATGATCTTTAAAGAACTTCTGTAGACAACTTCATTTGAGCCTCCTTATGAACCTATGAGGCAGGCAAAGCAGGGAACTCTATAGATGAGTTAATATGTACAAAGAAGTTACACAGGTAAATAAATGAAGACCTTGGGCTTTACCCCCAGCTCTGGCTATCTTTTGAGGAGTTGAGGGAAAGCAGTTGGCTTGCCTCAGCCACAGCATCTCCTCATACCCTTGCCTCACCTGGAAAACTGTCTGGCTCGAGCAGCCATTCAACACAGGGTTTCATGAGCCTCTGTCCCCTGACCTCTGCTCCTGGGCATGAGATGATGCCAGGGTCCCCTTTATTGGCTGGTCTCATCCCTGCAAGCAGGACCAGTGCCAGTGCCTCCTTGCTGGGTTCTTCCTACCAGATCACCTGCTCCTGGCCATGTCCACTACTACTGGACCCTCTTAAAACTTACCTGCAACAACTCTTTTTGATGAACTCCACCCACCCACATTGGCCACCTTACTCCTAGGGTCTGTATTCTCTGATCTGTGTTCATCTAGGGCAGCAGTTCTCAACCTGTGGGTCGCGACCCCTTTGGCGGTCGAATGACCCTTTCACAGGGGTCGCCTAAGACCATCCTGCATATTAGATATTTACATTACGATTCATAACAGTAGCAACATTACAGTGATGAAGTAGCAACGAAAATAATTTTATGGTTCACAACATGAGGAACTGTATTTAAAGGGCCAGAAGGTTGAGAACCACTGATCTATGGGGTGGCAGGTGGAGAAGGTAGGAGTTACAGGAACTAGTTT